ATTTCCCCATCCAGAACTATTTAGGTCCCACACAAGACTCCTAGATTGTAAGCTCGAAAGAGCAGGGCCCTTGATCCCCTCATGTTTTGCATTGTATTGGTATTGTTCTGTCACATGTTCTGTCCCCCTTTGTAAGTACAGCGCTATTATTGGCGCTTTATAAATACTGTATATTTAAGTCTAATAATAATAAGTCTAGCAGCACCCCCAGGTCTCAGCCTAGGGAAAGAGAGATCACAAGGCACAGTAGCTAAATGGTTAACACTTTTGCCTGGCAGCACTAGGGTCATTGGTTCAAATCCTAAGCACAAAAACACCAGCCCTACATAATGGGAACAGGCTATTTATTTTAATTGCTATATGAGGTGGTATCAAATCGTTTTGAGGCTACTTTTGTAACACTCTTTGCAACACAGATGGCAGCACAAGGCTGCATGCACACAGGGAGCACCAACCTTCATAAGTCAGTATGCCAAAAGACATCGTCCAGTATACATCTGGAGCTGTGCAACTGGTGCTATTCTGACAATATGTGTTACTGCATGCTTCAAGAGCGGAAGAACATCACTGGAAGATGACAAGAGATCAGGAAGATCTTCAATGAGCTCAACCCCAAAAATGCCAGTGTACACATTATGATGTCTTTTGGCACACTGACTTCTGAAGGTTGGTGCTCCCTGTGGCTTTTTAATACCATTTCGTACAACTTAGCCCTTACTTTTTATCTACTTTATACACAGGACAGTTTTAAAGTGAATCTGTCAGGCTAGAAATATGGAAATTGTCATCATTAACTTGTTTTTAACAATGGATGTTCAAGGACAGTCACTCTTACCTTTGGTGTATCATTATTTCGGAATAAGCATGTGTCCGAACACATATTATGATTTTTTTCAGGTTAGTGACTCATTGAATAAAAAATTTCATTTTCTGTGATAATACTTTAGGAATGGAGAGAAAATCTTACTTTAAAGTCTGAAACAGTATGTATTCCCCTTGAATGAAATATACTTTCTTAGCAAAACCTTTAGATTTAAACGTATTAAAAAGAAATATTAAAAGATCAGGTAAATGTGTGAGGTTGGTGCTTTGACAAGCTATGAGTACATGGTGCCCTCTAGTGGACTACTCATGAACTGCGTATTGCAAGCTGGATACTCTATCTCACAGGGAATATACTTTATTTTCAACGTTTTGGCAACTATATTTGTAAAAACAGATCATCCTGATGTGAATAATTTCATGGACATGTGTTAAGATTTTAAATCCTGACTAAACATTTAGTTTAAATAGGAGGTCGAGGTATATCTGAATGAGAAATTACCGCAGCTCTGTAATCATTAAAACACCATGACATTTATTTTTACAATGCAAGCAATGTATGTACCTGGATCTAACCTGTTATCAACTTCTTGAAGTCTTTTACCATCTGGGCTGGAGTGTGAGAAGAAACAGTACAAGCAGTGGCGTCACTAGGGTTGGTGCCACCTGGTGCGATAAAACATGGTGTCACCCCCTCCCCCCCAGTCATTTTTTCCCCATATAACACTGCATATAATGGCATTGTGTCAATGGACACAATACTAAACCCCTGAATTGGTGTAAATGGATGCAATAATAAACCCTTAAACAGGGGCAGACTGACAACTCATGGGGCCCCCCGGCAATAGGGGATCATGGGACCCCTGTGTCCTTGCCCAAACTCAAAAATGCCTATGAAAAAGGTACCAGGGGCATCTCATGGGGCCCCCTACTGACCCCGGGCCCTCGGGCAGTGCCCGAGTTTCCAAATGGTCAGTCCGACCCTGCCCCTGAATTAGTGTAAATGGATAGAGGAAGGAGCCAGGAGAGGAGTCCTAGAGGTAGGAATGTCTGCAAGACTCTGGGGTAAAAGCTGCACCCACTGCTCTGTTTAAATTTTACCCCCTATGACCACCAAGGCTGGGGGGAGGTGGGTTAACTTTCGCTGTATGGCCACAAATGCAGATGGGGTGGTTGCTGCGTTCAATTTTCACTGCCTTGACCAGCAATACAGGATGGAGATGAAGGTTTACTTTCACTGCCCCCCCCCTTCATTGGTGGTCAGTGGAAATTAACCCCCATCGCCCACCCACTAAGCATTGGTGGTCATATAATCGAAATTTTAACTCATCATTCCCCCTTCTGCATTTGTGGTCATACAGCAAAATATAACCCACCTCCCCCTACATTGGTGGTCATGGGGAGATAAATTTAAATTCCACTGACAATCAAACTGGGGGTTGGGGTTAATAGTAGTGACACCAATGTTGAGGGTTATTTTTACACCCACTGACACCAAATCAGGGGTTTAATATTGTGTTGATTGAAACCGATACAGGGGTTTATTATTGCCTCCAGTGACACCAATACAGTGGTTCATTATTGCGTCCATTTACTCCAATTCAAGGGTTTATTAATGCATCCATTGACTTCAATTCAGGGGTTTATTATTGCGTTCATTGACACCAATGCCTTTATATGCAGTGTTAAATGGGAAAACAATTACTGGGGGGGGGGGGTGACACCATGTTTTACTGCACCAGGTGATACCAACCCTAGTGATGCCACTGCACACAGCATAATAAGGAGCAGTGAACCCATCATCATCTTCCCCTGTAGTGTTCTGAGGAGTTCAGTCCATGTCCTATGACATCTTCTCTTCATTACAGCAAACCTTCCTGCCTTTCTTCTCCTCTCCATCCGACCCAAAGAAGCTGACTGTTCAATCTGTGTGCTAGACCCACTCCCCACACCGATGTGTCCAGGAGTTTCACAGTCCCCCTACCTCAGCACACATCCCGCCAGAAAGAATCCACCTGTATCTCTTCCACTTTTCCTTCGAGGACATACACAACATGCTGCACAGGCAGACCGTGACCCTTCATGCTCCGCCTATGATTTACACTGCTCCCGGTGGTGCAGTTTTAGGGAAAAAACAGGGATTGTATCGCTGCAACTCCCCTCCCAAGCTGCCTAAGCCGCCTTATGCTGGTGCTGACCCTGGGTATCACCCCTCATAGAGATGCCATTGAGTACAAGCAGCACAATTCGTGTGCTGGCAAGAATCATGCTAATACCTGGGTAGCACAGTGGCTCAATGGTTAGCACTTCCATCTGGTAGTAGTAGGGTCGTACCATGCAGGTGATACCAACCATGGCATCACCTGCATGGAGTTTGCATGTTCTCCCTGTGCCTGTGTGGGTTTCCTCTGGGTACTCTGGGTACCTCCCACACTCCAAAGACATGCTGGTAGGTTAATTGGCTCCTGTCTAAATTGGCCCTAGTATGTGTATGTATGAATGTACGTTTGGGACCTTAGTTTGCATGCCCCTTGATGGCCGGGACCAATGTGAATGTACATATGTATGTGCGACATGCGACTCGAGCCCATTTGTTTTGGGCTCAAAGCACACCACAAAGGTATTGGTCATCGGTATCGGCAAGTACTTGAGCACAAGTATCGGTACTCATACTCACTGATAAAAAATGGTATTGGTGCATCCCTACTATAAAGGGTATCTAAACTCAAGACATAAATGTAATATTTCACAGCTTACCAGTCTTCAGATGTGGTGGCTCCATTAGTGTTCTTTTTTCAGGTTCAGAACATTTTTCAAAAACTACAGTAAATACCTGTTGATCTTAACAAAATGCAGTGTCCTCGTCACTTCCTGTGAGTTAAAGCACAATATAATCTTTCTTCTGCAAACTACCAATCCCCCAATCCTCATGTAATATATATGAAAAAAAGGAAGACATGTTGAAATACAGTCTGCATGTCACCTATGGCTCTCTTCATAGATACACTGGAGTAAGTGAGAGTATCCACCCTAGACTGGCAAGTGTGTAATTCACAGTATTTCCAGGTGAAAATAAAAGGAAAGAAAGCCTGAAAAAGAAAACTAATGCAGAAGTTAGGTCAGAAAATATACCATTGTGCAAACAGACTTATCTGAAAGATTTTCCCCCTGAGACATGTAATGATCATCGTCAACATGTAAGTACTGACTTCTCTGATCCTCCCCTTCTTCCAGTGTCCCCCTCTTATCTCCTGATAAGACATATTGTGTGGAGTTACTCTGCACATGCTTAGTTTTGTGTGTATTGCTAAAGCATTTTTTTTTCTTGGGAGAGTTCATCAGCAAAGGGCCAATCATCACTGTCCAGATGGAGGTCAGGGGTCCTACATCTTCCTAGTGCAGAATGAAAACTCCTCCTACAAGCTTTAACCAGTACTCTGCAGGACACTGATAGAAGTCACAAGACTGCTCTAACTGCTGAGAAAAGGTATTTAGCAGTTTATATTTACTAAAATAATTGCACTTTCATGTTGTGTGTACTGTGGGGGGACCAGATATAGTGAATGCAGGGTCCTGGGTTTAGTAACACTTTAATAGGTATACATCACTTAAGTGCCATTGTCAAAAGATTTACTGTATATAGAGAGAAGTAAGTGTGGCCTTTGTGCTTAACATTTTAAAGTATTGCAAAATGGGTCCCAAGAGTTAAAAGTTGCTGATATTAATTATATAAATATTTGGTCCCATAGAGGTGATTTTGACAGAAAACAAATGAAAAAAGAGAAAATGGGGATTTATGTACCATTATTTTGATACCTCAGGGCATCAATAAAGGAATTTACAATGTTCTTGTGAATTTGATATAACACAGTATTATTATTAAAACAAGGAGAGAAGTTCCTGTTTGTGCTGCTCACGTAGTTCATTGTGTCTTGCCTGCTTTATACTTTTCATATTATTTTTGTCTTGTAGTAGCTAAATTTGTGTAATACTGTTATGTAGCTAGCTTTTACTTCCATTTTAAAAAGATATAAAAGTGGTTCATTTTGCATGCTCATCAAATAAAAGCCACTTTACAAAGACAATATATGACAGCTAAAAACATATTCATATTTATCCATACAGGTTGCAAATTTCTGAGTTTTTAATTTAAAGTGTTACTAAACCCAGGACCCTGCATTCACTAGATCTGGTCTCCCACAGTACACACAACATGGAAATGCAATTATTTTAGTAATTATAAACTGCTAAATACCTTTTCTCATCAGCAGTTAGAGCAGTCTTGTGACTTCTATCAGTGTCCAGCCAAGCACTGGTTACAGCTTGTAGGAGGTGTTTTCATTCTCCTTTGATTTTCCTATGAAGCTGCATGACCCCTGACCCTCTGTCTGGACAGTGCTAATTGGCCCTGTGCTGATCACGTGCACCCTTCCCCCCCAAAAAAAAAAAACTTTCTAGCAAAACAAACCAGTGCATTTGCAGACTTCCCATGGCTGTTCTGTACTATGGCAGATGGATTGGGGACAGTAAAAGGTTCAGAGAAGACAGGATCAAACAGACTTTGTGGAGGATTAACCCCTTAGGTTCCACAGTGAGTATAACAAACATGATCTATTGTATATCCAGTTGCAGACTCTGGACGTGTTAGACATGCCCAAGAAATGTCATCATTGTTCACAAGGTGTGTACTATGTCCAGTCTTTCTGCCCTGCTTCCAGGACCTCCCCTGGAAAAACTATATTTTGGACATTTTGCTATTAAACACGTCCAGTAAAAAAAATAAAAAAATCAAATTTCACCATAAATTTAGGCCAAAATGTACTCTGCTCCATGTCTTTGCTAAAATAAATCCCAATACATTTAAATTAATTGGTTTACGTGAAAGTTATAGCATTTACAAATGGCTGTATATATACTGGAATTAAAAAAAGTTTTCTTTTTCTTACTAGTAATGGTTGCGATAAGCGACTTATAGCGGGACTGTGGGACTGCAGTGGGCATTCTGACACTGGGGGAAACTGACTTGGTGTCACTGACATCCCCAGTAACACCAATGCAGTGATCAGTGCTAATAAAAAGCACTGACACTGAACTAATTTCACTGGGCATGAAGGGGTTAACATGTGGGGCTATCAGAGGGTTAACTGTGTGCCATTTTACATTATGTGCTGTGTTTGTGCTTCACTGTAAGCACACTGCTTTGCATGGCTGCACAGCCATGCAAAACAGTGTGCAGGAGCTGAGAGGGAGGAAAACTGTTTTGTTTACTAACAGTTCTCCCCCCCCCCCCCCGTTGGAGATCCCTGGCAATCAACGGGCGCTGGCAAGTAAACTCTGGCTGGGACCCAGTGATTGATGGCTGTAAATAGCGCCCATACCCAGAAATGCAAAATTACATATATATACGTGATTTTGCACACAGCTGTCGCCCAGTAGCAGAATTTCTTTTATGGGGCAGAGCTAAAGCAGTTAAGAAAGTTTCATTGTAGTTTTCTTTCAAGATGACATGGAGCCCTTTGGCTGGTGCTTACTCTGCCTATTTGGAACTGCATGTGGCCATATTTAGGCAATGATGTAAAGCTCCTTTCCCATCCCATTTGCTTTTGTGGTTGGGCCTTCCTGGCCATGTAAGTGAATGGGCCGGGTTAGGTTGGTGCTTAGTAAGGACAGGACTGAACTGTGAGCACATCCCTAATTATTACAATATCATGCTATTAACCCGTTTGCTGCCATTTTTGCACACAGGCTTAAAAAAATCATTTTAGGCCTGAGGGGTAGTTAAAACCTCCAAACATTATATATTATTTGAGCAGACGCTCTGGAGAATAAAGTTGTAGTAGGTCAAATTTTTTATGTCCCCCCAATTTTTTGCACAACTGGTGTCTCTGCTGGAGGTGAAGTTAACATCCTGGTGGAGCACTGTTTTGGGTGGAGCTACATGGATTGATTAAAGATCCACTTGAAAAGCCCATGGGATGTTGACAGTTTTGAGTAGAGTAAATGAGAATCTTTTCATTTCAGGAGGAACATCTGAGAATCACAATTGAAACATTGGATACTTACATGGATTTGAAAGTGGACATTGTTGATATTTATATATGTATTGCCTATATATACACTGTTAGTGGGACGTACTAGCACTATAACGCTGCACTGTTAGTTATTATTTTAGATTTGTTTTGTTTAATAACCAAGTGCTGGCTAGCTATATATAGTATATTTATTGCCTTTTTATTTCCTCAGTAAAAGTTCAGCTTTAAGTTAGGCTCAAAGTTAGGCTCATTCCAACCATTGGCTGTGGCATGGTATCACCTTTCTGTGCCCCATGGTTTCCAAAGTCCTTTGAATCATAGCAACACTCCTGGCCGATGCTATTTTCAATCAGTGCAAGGAGATCAGCAGAGAAAAACACAACAGGAAGGTCCCACAATGTCACTGTGCACGTCCTGCTCTATGTGAATGGTGATTGGGGCACTCCGAGCTGCACAATGATGCTGAGACAAGTACAGTGGCACCTGGATCCCAGATGCAGAACACAGTTGTGTGCGCACTAACAGATGTGAAATAAACTAGGGTGGGGGGTACGGTTTGGCATCTTCACCTGGGGCACTGGTTGACCTTGTCCTGTCACTGTGTAGAATACAGCAACAGTAAGTAGCACCTGAAAAGTCCCAGGAATTCCTAACCGATTCAAAAGTAGAAACAGCAAGGAATCTGGTGCCATATTATAGCCCAATTTTAGGATAGTAAAAAAGAATCCACCCTGTCAGTGCGGAGGCCCCTTGTCACATACCTGATAGAAGTCTGAATTGACGAGGTCAGCCTCTCTTGTATCTCCAACTTAGGCCCCACTGAAGGTGGCACAGATGGTGCCGAGGGACAGGAGAAACACGAGTGTCTGCGGATATTGATTGCAGAACTTGCAGCTTGAGGTGTAACCTCTGTAAATCAAGCAGGGCATCAGTCAGGAACAGAGGAGATGCCGGGATGGCCAGCTGAGGTTGAGGAAGCACTCCACTGGAACTGCAAGATCTGGGTACGTGGCTTGCTGGAATTCTGATAAGCGTGAGGCCGGAACACACCGTGACAACCGGAGCTGATATAATAGATAGCCAGGGCAAGCACTTGGCAGGACTGTAGAGCCAAACTGGAGCTGGAAGCATAGTCAGAGTAATAGCCAGGGTCAACAATGAGCAGGCGATGAGGTACCAGAACATCAGACAGGGACGAGGTGAGGAGGAAGCCAGGATCAGAAACCAATGAGCAGAAACATAAACAGAATCCAAGAGCAGGTCAATGGCAAGCCAGGTCAGTAACAGATACACACAGGATACAGCAAGACACAGGGAATTAGCTGCAGACCAGTCAGCACTGTCAGAGAGTAAGAGCCTCCTTTAAATTGTCCATCTGGGCGCCAGAAACTGTGGGCACACTCCCGCGTGCTTGCACCCGTTTGTGCGCATTCTTGCGTGCATGCGTGAGCCTATGTTCATTTTTATTAGCAATGCGCCCGTGCTCATTTCTATGCACGATGTTGTGTTCATGCGCATTTCTGTGCGTCAGTTGCCATACAGGAATTCCCTTACATTGCCCCCTCCTTTAGTTGGAGCCTCCATGGTTAAGATAATCAAAAATGGTCCACTGTACTAGACCTGTTCTGGTCTTTTGACCTTTAGAAGTGTCTGATTTCATCCTTTCTTTTTTTAGCTTTGGCTCCAGCACTGGCCTTGCTAAGAAACACATGCCCAGAAATTATTTATGTTGGATTAAATTTGCACATTAGGACAACAATTTGACTGTCTTTTGAAGATATATTGGCAGCCTTATGCCTTGATGCCTTGATATGCATCAACACGGTTCTAGACAGCTATTAGGTAATATGAGCAATCTCATAAGGATCTGTGATCAGTCTCCAAAATCAAAATGTATTCACTTTGAACTTTCTACGGTACATTTGCCATACAAAAGCTAGAATGTCTACACTGAACCACAGAGTTGGCACAATAAAAGTACAAGATTTATTGGGCAAAGTTTCTTAAGTATTTATTTAAAAGCAAAGAAATCATTCCATCTGGATATATACCGCAAACTGTGAATTAAAGCAGTCCAATTTCCTTGTTGTAGTTTTTCACCATAGCAGGTAAAGAACCCTAAGGTTATGAAAACAGAAGCACAATATCCAAACCAGTCTTACATCAGTATTACGTCTCACTGCTCTATAACAGTATTCATTTCAAAACTGGTCATCTAGATTCATTAGTCTGGGCTGTCACCTATCTTTTCTGATAAAATGTACGAGGAAGTGAATCATTCATGTTTGACGTACTAATGCCTAAAAAAATGGAAATATGCAGCTCAACGTGTTTTGTTCTCTGGAATAGTGATCTAATTTTTGTTTTATGTCCAAAATTCTGGCAAAAGGAATATCAGAATATGTCAGTTTAATACATATAAATTGCATTTGGTTTTATTCATTAATATTCTGTAACCCCAAAGAACATGAATAAAAGCAATATAAATAGCTTATTTTACAGAGACTACCATTTATTTAGTTATGTGCCTGTAGGCTGTTAATGTTGCTTGTTTTATTTGATTCATAAATACACATTTCCAACCTTTTACTTGTTTACTTCAGTGCATCACGTTTTTTTTGTTGCAGGCTGTTGACAGCTTATAGCCTAAGATGAAATACTGTCCTTCTTGCCATCTCTTGTGACTTTCTGAGCAAAAATGTAGGAAATATTTTCATTGCAACATCTGAGCAATGCCCTGCCTCACCCTGACCAGGACACGTCTACACCTATTTGCAAAAGCATTAAAAAAATGTTTTATAAAATGTAGAAAGAAAATGAACCTGAGATACAACTCTTTTGCTACTAAATGTTACCAAGGAAAGCTATATGTTTAAAAGAAATGTGTTAAAAAGTGACCTCTGCTGCCACCTCTGCCATTGAGCATTACTCCACTTAATCAACTATCTTTTCCTGAAGCCCACCAGGAAGCCAAGGCTTTTGGGAGTGTGGATCTGTGTGGTTCCGAACAGCTCTGACTGGTTTCTTTTGCTGACTTCTATAAAATATATAGGAGACAGTATGAAGGTTGGCCAAAGGTAATGGTGTTCACCAGCAGGGACAACAGGAGAGGAAATATTTACAATCTTCTTTTACAGGTAAAGTTCTCATGGGGAAATAAGTCTAGAGACAGGGTCACTTCAAGGAAATGATATGTCCATAATTACCTGTAGGGAAAATAAATATCAGATTACAACAAAGCACAATTTAGAATCATTTATTAGATTCAAAGCATGGCCAACTCTAATCAGTTTTGCTGTAATAAGCTGGTTGAAAGAAAATTGACCTATACACTCACCAGCCATTTTATTCGGTACACCTTGCTAATACCAGATTGGACCCCCTTTTGCCTTCAGAACTACCTGAATTCTTCATGGCATAGATTTAACAAGGTGTTGGAAACATTCCTCAGAGATTTTGGTCCATATTGACATGAGTTACTGTTACCCTTCTATCATCTCAAACCAGTCTGCCCATTCTCCTCTGGCCTCTGACAACAACAAGGCATTTTCTTCCACACAACTGCCACTCACTGAATATTTTCTCTTTTTCAGACCATTCTCTTTAAACCCTAGAGATTGTTGTGCATGAAAATCCCAGTAGATCAGCAGTTTTTGAAATACTCAGACCAGCTCGTCTGGCACCAACAACCATTCAATGTTCAAAGTCACTTAAATCCTCTTTCTTCCCCATTCTGATGCTCAGTTTGAACTTCAGTAACTCGCTTTCACTATGTCTAGATGCTTAAATGCATTGAGTTGCTGCCATGTGATTGGCTGATTAGCAATTTGTGTTACCATAAGCCACTTTCCACCTTCTTTGTACAGCAGTTATAATGAGATAGTGGAACGCAACATACTACTATCCCTACCTACCATACAGATTTAAATATACAAGGTATATAAACTGTTGGTGGTAGGTTGCTTGATCTACTTAAACAATGTTGTCATCACAAGCTGAACGAATAGGAATTATATTGCCTGTAAACTGCTACATCTACGCTCACCATAAGAACAATTTGAAGCCGCGCTCCAGATCATGGGGGCATGACCAAAAAGTAACAGTATAGTTCAAAGTTAATGCTTAAAAGTATTATTATACGAAAAGAGAGTGAATACTTGTAACAGACTTCCAGCATAGAAAGTATCTACATTTAAACATGCTTGGGATACCCAAATAAACATAGATCTATCCTAAAAAAAAGTATTTTAAATAAAAGGACAGACTCTGTGGACCACTTTGCCTTTTTTCTACGATCACTTTTTTTTTCTGCTTCTGTGACTCAAGACACAGTGTAGTTTGAAGAAACAAAGGCACATAACCAATCAGCAGTCATCTATTTTTTGCGCTCACTGCCATAAATTGAATGATGGCATAAAGAGCATATCATTATTTTTACATTTAGACTTGTGTTAAATAAGATTAATTATCACAATTATGTTAATAACTAAAAAAGAAAGCCAGTATTCATTAACTTTTACTCGAGAAATTAAACATTTGGTTGTGAAATTGTTCAATGTCGTTTTCTTTTTCTTTATTTTTTTTTTTTTGTTATAAATCATCCCTGGACTCACATGTATACAGTGCTTTTGTTTATAACCACTTCCTGACCGCCCTATAGCAAAAGTAATGCTACAGGGCTCCAAGGATGTGCAAAATCACGTATACATACTATTGGCTCCTCAGCATGTCAATCATCGGGTCCTGGCCCCCAATTCTGGGCCAGGAGTCAGTGATCATCAGCGGAGCTGACAGGGGAGAGGTCTGTATGTAAACAATACAGATCTCTCCCCTGTCAGCACAAACAGGCTGCTTTGTATTGCTTTATTCAGCCGAGCTATACAAAACAGCTTGTCTACACAGTAAAACACACACAGCACAGTATGTAAAACACAACACAGCACACAGTTAACCCTTTGATCACCCAAGATGTTAACCCTTTCCTGCCCAGTGTCATTAGTGCCATGTCAGTGCTTTTTATTAGCACACTGATCACTGAATTAGTGTCACTGGGCATGTCAGTGGCAGTTAGTCAGTTCCCCCCCAGTGTGAGAATACCCACTGCCTTCCAGCAGTCCCACAATAAGTCACTGATTGCCGCCATTACTAATAAAAAATAAAAAAAATTCCAGTATATATACCGCCATTTATAGATGCTATAACTTTCACGTAAACCAATTAATTTACACGTATTGGGATTTTCTTTTAGTAAAAAAAAATATAGTTTTTTTTTTCAAAATTGTCAGTCTTTTTTTGTTTATAGTGCAAAAAATTAAAAACCCACAGGTGATCAAATACCACTAAAAGAAAGCTCTATTTGTGGGGAAACAAAGGACAAATTTCATTTATGTACAACGTTGCATGACTGCACAATTGTCAGTTAAAGTAATGCAGCACTGTATCACAAAAAATGGCCTGGTCAGGAAGGCGAGTAGATCCTCTGAAGGGCATGTGGATAAAACAGACAGTAAAAAATGGAGTTGTCGATGAAAGTAAAGGCTTTGCTAAGCAAAAGGAAACCCAAGTGGTCACTTAAGGAATAAAATCCATCAAAGCCACCATAAGCTTCTACAACGTCTTCTGCTTGTTGACACGTTGCTTGAAATTGTTAGTGTTGGATTTAGTACAAAAAAGAGATCACCACAAAGATGAGCTGAAGCACTTTCTCTGTAGTGTTGATTGAAGGCGGTAGGTGATCATTAGGGACATTAGGACCTTTTATTTAGGTTTGAAGTTCTTAAAATAAGGAACAAATGGCCGATAACCAGTAAATGTTTCAAAGTGTTACTGAACCCAGGACCCTGCATTCACTCTATCTGGTCTCCCACAGTACACAGAAGATGGAAATGCAATTATTTTAGTAAATGTAAACTGCTAAATACCTTTTCTCATCAGCAGTTAGAGCAGTCTTGTGACTTCATCAGAGAACCGGTTAAAGCTTGTAGGAGGAGTTTTTTTCTGCTCTAGGAGGATGCAAAACCCCTGACCCTCTGTCTGGAGAGTGCTGATTGGCCCTGTGCTGATCACATGCACTCTCCCAAGAAAAAAAAAACTCCCTAGCAATACACACTAAATTGAGCATGTGCATGAGGCTACGGGTTCAGTCTGCCTTATCAGATGGACATCTGAACAAGAGGAGGGGCAGAGAAAACAGGATCAAGTGGCCTATGTACGGAATGCAGAAGATTAACCTCTTAGGTTCCACAGTGAGTATAACAAGCATGCTTTACTGCATATATACACTGATTTTACTGGTGTGGGTTTAGTAAAACTTTAAGCTGCAAGCGCAAGAACACTAGGTGCCTAAACATCTCACATTATATCATTCTCTTTTGATTCCCTTCTCTATCCTCAGAGATAAAATAAAAGTTTAGTCTACACCAGTTATTTTTATTATCCATGATTAAATCGATCACATTTGCTGTGCTCTATTCTTTGTAGTATATTAATCTTTGTAGTAATGCCCCAGTCTGTACTCTTTGTCTCTAGTAAATTTGGGCCTAGCCTAGCCCAATATCTTGCTGCTGGCCAGTCTTACACTACTGTGTAATTGGTGATTCCTGTAGTACACCTGCCTGTATTATTGGGGGTTGATTTATTTTTAGAAAATTTATCTTTTCACTGTTTAGGACCATTTTTACTTTGCAAGGGAATTGTGCATTAGCTTAGTGAATGTGGTGAAAATTTACTTTGCAAAGAATACCCAAACTTGTGAAAGGAAAATAAAAAAAAAAAACCTGTATTTTTGCTTGCATATGATTGGATAATTTAAGTCTGCACTCTCACCTCACTCACTATTTTACACTGCTGTGTCATCTGCGGTCTTTAAATGCTTGGAGTAAATTACCTGCCTGTACTCTTTTTTTTCTTGGACATTTTTGACAATTCTTTCTCAAACATGTTTTGCTGCTAGCCAATTATATACTGCTGTTTCACCTGTCTCATCTTAATTGCCAATGAAAGTTTGAAACAAATTGGTCGGCAGCAAAGCAGTTTTGCATCAGCAAGAACAGGGGCAGCCACAGTGAACTACTGGCCAATTTCTATATGCCAGACAAAGTGGACGGATGATGAAAAAGCATGTGTCACTGCTAAAGCTACCAAAAAAAGCCTTTTTTCAATACGGCAATGAATCAAATTGTGGTGGTGCTGCTGTATGTAAGCCAAGCTAATTGTAAAAGGAAAAAAAAAAAATCAATTCCACAGCCAAATGTGCACTGCCAGTGTAAGCTGTCACTGAGACTCTCTGTAAAATTAATTCCATAACACCACATGCAGCTTTAAGCCATCCCCCTAGCATATTATTAATGGATTTGTGTAACTTTCTCTCGAAGCCGCATGAAAAGACCCTCTAAAAGCTGAAAAGTAATGTACTTTTTTGCATTGGTTCCTATCCTCATAGGAGGTGCCTAAAGCCTTTTTGATAGATGTTTGTCTATTAGCCTACAAATCACCAGAATTTTAAAACACGATCCCCCCCCCCCCCACACACACACACACTTCTGTGGGATTCAGCTATTTATTTTTTTATTGCAGGTATTTATAAAGCATCAACAATTTACACATCACTTACATTCACATTAGTCCCTACCCTCAAGGAGTGTACAATCTAAGGTCCCTAACTCCCATTCATACATACACATACTAGGGCCAATTTACTTACCAACAGGTCTTTGGAGTGTGGGAGGAAACTAACTTAAGCAGAGGGAGAGCATGAAAACGCATGCAGGTAGTGCCATGGTTGCGATTTGAACCAACGATCTTAGAGCTGCAGGGCAAAAGTACTGACTACTAGCTACTGCTACCTGTGAGCTTAGGTTCACCAAATATGAACAAGATCCACCAAATCCTTAGTGAATCAAACTTAGGTAGATTGATTCTCCCATCATTATTTACAGATACCAGAGCCTAGAATTATCTATTTTAAAGAAATCTAAATAATTAAATTTATATTAAATAATAATATGTGATTATATTATATGACATACTGGCATTTATATAATATAAATGCTAATAAAATGAAAAATGTCTTCAATATCATATTTAGGCTCCATGTCACATACTGGATTTGTCTTAGAAGTCTACATGGTTTAGACAAACTTTGCAATTGTAATTTTTATCATCTAAGTATTTTAAATGTAGGAGATATGTTCTAAAAATGTCAGCAAAGTTTCTAGGATGTATCCCATACATCCAGCTCCTCTGCTATCACTGTTCTCTCAAATCGCTAAAACTGGCAATTAACAGTTGTCCAAATGACAACCTTGAATTACTATGTATCATATAGCAGAAACAACTTTTCCATAAAACAAAAACAAAAAAAACAAATCAAATAAACTTGAATAACCCCCAGCATGAGAAATTCCTCCAACTATACCTTTAAATGTGCCAGCCTTATCCTTCCTTTCCCCTACCCCTCTTGTTGTTCTTTTCTTTCACATTCCATAGGTAATGTACATACAATACATTATCACACCAAAGCTACTCTGAGCCCTTTGAGGGTCTTCTTTAGTCCTACCTTACTAAGTCAATAAAATGGTACCAAAATCAAGATTAGCATATGTTATAGTTTTTATATTTGAAATGTCACTGGAAATCTCATCCAAGAATGTTAATTCCATTCTGTGTCATTAAGAAAAGGTCACACTTTATTTGATAATTTATTATTGATATGTGGACCTTTTATTGAGATTGTATTGTTACCCTGAGTATGTGTTTGTATTCTTCTACATTACCCATTTAGTACTTGTCACTTTAATAAAACCTATTGGACAGAAACCTGAACACTAGTGGAATTAGAAAAAAAATGCATTGTTTAATTTTTTTATGTCTTTTCACTTGTAGATTATATGGAAAATACAATAATTTTTGCAAGAAAATATTGTCAAAACACTACCTAGTTTTTCATGAAAAAATGCATGCATTACTTTATTAACTTAAGCAAAAACAAAGTTCTTGCGGAATACATAAGCCATAGTGGAAATGTAAAAATTGCTTAGGATTATATGGTATAAAAATTGAAAGAGAACTGACAAATTTAAACTACATGTACCTTTAAAATGGATTTCCAGCAATTATAAACCTGTCATTTATTTTGTCACATTCCACTTTGGAGCTCAGTGCCTTTCACTATGGCCCAACGCCAGTGGCCCCGTGTGTCCAGAAAATGTTGAGGGAGAATTGTCAAGTAAATTAGCAAATTAGATGTACATTACAGATTATGTTTCTTGGAGTCCATGCAACAGTTTGTGCACTTGTGACTCCTGTGCCTACAATCATAGGCAACTAAATGAAAGAGTTTTTACTATTTGCCAACAGAAATACATACATACACACAAATAAGAAGTGGTCAGTGGCAGATTTTATATTGCTACTTTAAAAGTAGTTGCAGCAGAAATTTACGAATCAAGTTGCAATCTTACCATGAATCTGTCTCACTGCTTTGTCCCCCGGTGGGTAAATTTTAAGGGGGATTCGTGTCATAGATTTATGTTTTCAAATGTAACACATAATAAATGTATTGCTTTAAATTACACACATTGTGATCAATGAAACTTTAATACATATATAGAGTTTGGGGAAAAAATATCACAGTTCAATGAATTATCAAAAATTTGTAGCTGTTTTAAGTAAAATTTATGTGTACAGTATTGGCTAGAGGTAATTAATTATTCTCTACAGTCATTTAAACTGAGCAGTTTTTTTAAGGGGCAGACACAGTGGCGTCTGAAATAAATCTTCCATTAAAACATATTTCTTCACATCTCCAAGGAATATGAAAATATCTATGGTCAGTATGGCAAATATAATATTTTATAAAGGTTACAATTCTTGGACTAATACTATTTTGGATTAACTAAAATGTTTTTAAATAACAACTTGTTTTCGTAGCATACCTGAGAACATATATATGAGCTATTTTAGATTATCAGCTAATAAATCCTTTTGTTAAAATGATCTTTCTTTTAATCACAGTTAAATCAAAGTCTTGAGCACACAAGATTAAGATGACAGGAGTACATTCCTCCATCTGCCTTTCAATAGCCTTGTAAAATTCCAAGAGATGCAAATTTTAAACATAGAACTAGATCCAATAAATGAGTCAAGGACAGAATTTAAAGAATGATGCATGAAAGCAGAGAAGGTTTGGTAAATGTTACAAGAAAGCGAATGGGCCATTTGTCTTCTTTTAGATTGCAATAGGGATCAGAGGGCCCTGCTCATGAGAACTTACATTGTACTGTAACTATGCAGTCTCCTTTTATTTTGTAAAATGCTGCGCAAACTGTTGGCACAGTAAATCCTGTATATAATAACAAAAAGTGAGTGCCTGCACTGAAGGACTAAGGATTTGCTAAACCTTATGCAGCATGGGATCATCATACATCTCAAAGTAGCAGTATCCAGCAATGTAGACACTACAATGTTACTATTACCAATAAATACGTCACAAGCTTATTGCTTCCATGGAGCCTACAAAAGAGACATGTATTGTTCCTAAAATCATGCTTACTGTCCTACCAACATCAAACAATGCACTACAGATGCCCTTGCAGCCAATAGATTGCTGTCATATTGTTTTACAGGATACCAACAAGAATTATTAGAGCTCTGAGTTGGTGCAAATGTAACATATTCAAAAAGTAGGCTAAAGGGTTGGACACTTCCAAGGTGTACAGAGCTTTTTTTTTTTTTCTTTAAGATTTAAAAGGTATTTGTAGGAAACATGTAATGCCTGCTTGGTGGGCTCCTGTTGGATTGATATGTTTGGGGATAACACAGACTGGCTTTACATTCTTCACACTATAGCCCACAGTAAACATACTAAGTGTGTAGTGCTGCACAGTTTTATTTTTGTATTTATTTATTGATTTTGCCCACATATGAGATAGGGTTTTTGTGTTATAGCAGCTACTTATATATTTGGTGTGTTATTTTTATACACCTTTAGTTGCATTTGTATTTTGATTCATAGTAGCGCGTAAGATTTTTTTCACTACATTTATACTAAGAAACTCCACCACAAAGGTTTGAAATACAACTTGCACATGCACAAAAGAAACAATTTTCTTTCGAATGTGCTCACTACATTCTGTCCTCTCCACTTCCAGAGGCTGACTGAGATCATGGCTCATGATGTTATACCAGAGTAGACCTAGAGGGCTTCAGTATCCCGAGGCACTTTCTTGCTTAGCTTGCCATGTGCAATAATGACAATACAGCTCTGAGGAGGTGGCAATGTTACCTAGGACAGTGTTTCTCCAAA